GTATGGTGAGTGTAGAGAACCGGAGACCCTTTTTACTGGAAACGAGGCATTCCACCTTAGTCCTCCCTGGTGACAACGCATCTGCAATTTGATTCGTAATCGAGGATAAATGTAGATGTCTATGGGCCACAGCAACCACTTACCATCAGGTGGACTGTGTGCTCGTTTATCATCCTACCCTATAAAAAACACTAAAACTTTTAATAAAACTAGTTTTTACGGATTTTATCGCGTATATTAACTTACTTTATATTCCCGACGACACCTTACAGCACCCATGGTCACGGGGGGGACTGAGGTGTTCGACGTTCCAATGTCATGGTTAACCAAGGCTACCTCCAGATTACTCTACGTAGTAAAGTACTCGAAACGTGGGGAATATAAAATAAGTTAATACACGCGATAAAATCCGTAAAACTAGTTTTATTTAAACTTTTCCCCATCGGTAGTCGATTTTTCATGCCACCCATTCAGCCGTCCCATTTGGCCCGCCCATTGGCACTTCAGCTCACTGATCAGTTGCGCTAAATCGGGTACTCTATACGAAACTCTTCACCTTTACATTGGAATACGTTTTCAAGCAACTGGACTGGAAAGGATACGGTATCATAATGAATTTCGAGTACACGGCTTGTTTTTGATTATACAGTTATTAATGTGGAATCGGTGTGAGAACCAGAACCATTATGCTCAATTACCTCAATAAGGTCCACCAATAGATTGGTCTTAAAATTAACATGGTCAAGGCAAAGGTCAAAAAGTAACGTCCATGTCACACTTATGCCGGAAGTCGTTGGGAAGACTATACTCAAGGTTGTTTACTATTAAGTTTACCTGGCACGAGTTATCCGACTAGGTAAATCCAATTTCGGACAAGCTGTCAATCGACTATCGACTGATCCAACTTCTATATTAACGTGGGTTATTACCTTATGTAAAAATATTATCGTGGTATTTTACTTTAATAGTTAAATTTATCACATTGTCCATAGCTGTTACGCAGTACATAAGAACTTAAGACTCTTACAATACAATACAATACTCTTTATTGTACAACAATAAAAGGTAAATATAACAAAAAATTAACAAATAATGAGGGAAAACGAAATACTCTCTTATTGCTACGTAGCAGTCTCCTCCAGACAAACCAGAAGAAGAAATTAATAAAAATAAAAAAAATATTAACGTGTAGGGTAAACTAAATAAGAAAAATAAAAAATACTAACTTATATACTAAAATGACAACATTCTTTAGGTAGATCAATGACCATAAATAAGAGGAGGAAGACAGAGGATTTAAAAAGACAAAAAATGTTGCTTAATCTGTTTCTTGAACACATTTACCGATTGAGCACTTTTAATTGACTGGGGAACCCTTATCCAGTCTTGTTCCAAGAACAACAAAAGATTTATTATAAAATATTGAGGAGTGCACAGGACATTGGAGAGAAAGATTTTCTTTGGACCGTAAGGAAAAATCGTGACAAGTACTAAGAAATAGGGAGGACTTCACATATTAAATAAACGCAGCAGAGCGCAGAAAGAGTATGAGTATTCCGACGAAGACGGATTGAGAGCCACTTCAGTTTAGTGCGGTATTCATATTCATATTATTCGGTCACGAAGCCCAAATATGAACCGTATACAGAGATTTTGGAGTCGTTCAAGTTTGTTAAGTTTCTCCCCGGTAATATCAAGGTAACAAATATCAGCGTAGTCGAAGATAGGGAGTAGTAAAGATTATGCAAGCGTAATTTTGGTGGAAATGGATAAAAAGTAGTTAAGCTTCCGGAGTGAAGCATATGCCGCAAACATTTCTCGGTGAACTTCATTAATTTGGGAAGTCCAAGTAAGACTGGAATCCAAAAGGAAAAATTATATAGACTAAATTTTTAATAATTTTATTATATTGGATGAGGACACCATTAAAAACAACAAGTTGGAGTTGATTTTTTAATTTTGGAAAGCATTCTTGAACTCCCAATAATTATGACTTGGGATTTTAAAAGGTGCACCGTCCACTCAAAAGATCGACTCCAGTCAAAAAAACAAGCCAGATCCTTGTTGATACATTCAACAGTTTTAGAAAGATCTTCAATGGTTGTTTGTAAATATATTTTAAGGTCATCTGCATACAAGTGGTAAGGAGCAGCTACTTGGGATGTAATCGTATTAATAAATATTGCGAATAAAAGAGGAGATAGGAGCCCACCTTGTGGAACGCCAGCTAGTGTATCAAGCCACGAAGAAAGTCTACCTTGGACAGGAATACGTTTCCGGCCCCCATACAAATAAGAATGAAACCAGGAAATTGCAGTTGGAGATATGTTAAGAGAACGCAGAATCCCTAACTGGATATCATGATCAATAGTATAGAAGGCATTACCGAAATCCAGCAACACCAATACTGTGACTTGTGACTTGTTGTGAAATCTTTTTAATTATAACAAAATAATATCAAAATCAATTTAATGAAAGTAAGGAAGAAACACTGGAAATAAGATAAATTTTCGCGGTGCAGACCATACTCCTGGATGTGACATTCAGGGCGCCCTTGTTACTTTTCAAAGTCAACCTATCTTTCTTTACCTTTTCATATAATCAACATTTAGGTAATCACCATGGGTGGCATTAATAACCACCATCAGATATGCAGAGAGTTATATTCTAAAATATTTACACTACTTTTTAAATAATAGTTCTTTTAGAACAATTAATCAGGACTCTAAATTTCCAACATAAGATGAGTTTGAAAACATGAATGTATAGCCCTAAATTAAGTTGGCATCGCTTTTGATTTAAAAATGAATGTTTCCACATTATTTTAAAAGTTATAACGATTGCTAAATTACTTAAAATTATTGTAAATATCCTTATTACCTTCGTGTAACAACATTTTATCGATGTAAAATTTTTGGTCAACTTGAGGGAAGGCTTTCTGACGGACTGATATTGTAAATAATAAATAATAATAATGAGTAACTGATTAAACTAAAAAAAATTAAATACCTGTAATACTATAAAATTACTTAATATGTTTTTAAAATCGAACCACACCTGTATTAAATTTGTAACAATTACGCACACGATATGTTCTATTGGAAAATGAATATTGAGTACTAGAGGTGTGTAACGTTTTTTCAGATATAAATGCGCCCCTGAACGTTTAATTTGAGAAACTGAGGATAATGATGGTTGCATGGTTAGGAAATAAGATATTTGTAGCCAATAATAAAATTATCTTCTCTATAAGAACCAGAAGATGCCGAAATTGACATTAGTTGAGCTCAAAGCCTCACTTAATCAGCTGAAAATGACTTTGAAGGTATTGTTATTTTATTAATGTTCATTTTAGTTTCTTAACATTTTGTAATTAATTTTAGGGTTTTGTATACCTTTTTCATTGGCAATGGACTCGTATGGTTTTACTTATGCCAGGTTCAAGTAATGGGAAATATATTTTATTAATGATTTTGTTATTATAATTTTGTTTTCAAAAACTTTCCCACAATATTGTGCATCATATTATGGAGTTTTCTGGATATTTCTACGATAGCTTAAACACAAAATAAAAGATGGCTTTACTTTAAGTTACGTATACAAGTAACAAGCAATGCAGTTTCTCAAGTTTTTAAAGCGCCTAAGCGAATAAAATAGCTGAAGGCTTATATTGACATTGTTGTACTTGTTTTTCTTTCCACTAAAAGTTCACATGTGCATACAGTGTAGGTATACAAAAAAGCGTTACTTTTACGTATCAAAATCTACATGTAACTTAAATTGAATATTATAAAAACCTCCGAAACAAAACAAGCTGATGATCTAATGATTTCTTAAATTTACGCGAACACTGCACGTTGAAGAAAACTATATTTACGGATTTTATCGTGTATAATTAAGTATTTTAACTTATTTTTAATTCCCGACATTTCGGATGCTTTACACCTGACGGGGGATGACGTCCCAATGTTATAGTTATCCCGGCTACTTCCAGTTTTTGAATATTAATTTTTGATCCGATCTACGCAGAATGAGCTTACAGTATCTCGAAGTCTTGCAGTGGTATGCTTGTTTTGAGTTTAATTTTGTTAATTATAGGATTTCAAGCAGATGGCAGCACCCTTCCATCTGCTCTATTAAAATTAGGATTTTTTTTAATTTCAATAAATAGCCTCGCATATCATCCTTGGTAGGAATCGGTGTTCTTTTGCGAGGATTTGTGGTTTATCAAATCTGATGTAATGGTGGGGACGATCTTGAATATGTTCGCAGACTACAGACTTCCCGGAGCGTCGGTGCTTCACGTCAGTTTTTTTTACGCGGGTTTTTATAAAAATTAAAATAGTTAATTAAACGCGATAAAATCCGTAAATATAGTTTTATTCAAAGCTGATGATCTTCAAACGACTACTACTAAAAATATGCTTTTAAATTTTAAAAAAAATCCGCACCCAAATTGTTTCACCCGTTTAAGGAGCTACGGTCCGTGCTACGGGGCCCCAAACAGACACAGATAGACAAACACATAGCGGCTAATCTCATAACACCCCTCTTTTTCGTCGGGGGTTATAAACTATTAAATTAAATGGCAGCAACAATCAGCCAACGGTCTTGTTTTCGCTGAAATTCCTTTAAAATAAAATAAATGTATCTATTACCTCAAAACTTCTCGTATACTTTGACAATATATTTTAAATGTATCTCTCCATTTATGACATGATGTAGTTTCAATAGGCTCAAAGTGGTAAGTATGTAGACATGTATAGTATTCGAATATATCATATACGATTACGGGGTATATATATATATATATATATATATATATATATATATATATATATATATATATATATATATATATATATATATATATACTTTAAAACCCCAAAAATTATAAGATTAATATTGTTTCTGAATCAAAAAACTATCTGACTGGTAGTAACTACTAACGACTAAGTGTATATATAGACTTATTGTACTACCATGAAATCAATTTTCAGGTACTAACTTTGCTTGGTATTGCTGTGGTCGCCTTAGGTGCTGACCATCATGCAATTTCAGAGCAATTGATAAAACATCACACACCAGAACATCATGGACACCATAGTGAACTTTCACACGTAGAATCTCATACTCCTGATCATCATGAAGAATACGTAAGTATACTTTAATGGTTTTTTGACCTGTATTATCACAGTGTTTCATTTTTGGAAATACTTTACTTTTTTGCTTTGTATGTTGAATTACTTGAATGATGGTGAACCTTTCTCCGATATGGCTCCTTATAATAATATGACTTGAACAATTGTAAGAGGAAGGTGTAATTTTTTTATTATAGAAGAGGGGGCAAAATATGCAGAACATATTATGTTGTTTATTATGGAGGAGGGGGCAAATTATGCAAAACATATAATGTTGATACCACTGTACCTCCTAGGCCGAAGCTTCCAACTCCTACTAAGATGAGTTGTTTCGATGTTACTCTGATACGTCAGGCCTGGTAGAACTAGGATGCAGTGTCAAATTGACAACAAAAAAGACTCATTTTCTTTTGCAAGAATACGCGAATGAATAGGCTCGACCAGTGTAAAATAGCAGCTTAATACTTATGTGTTTCATAGGGTGTGTGACGTGAACCATCATAAGTTCAAGAGGTAAAACCACATCTGCATCTTGACTCATGATTTTTAACTTTGGATGGAAATATGTATCTATGGGACATAGTAATAAAAAAAAACTTTTGGTAAATGCAAATGTGCATGCCTTAAGCGCTCATGTTATACGGCAACTGTTTTAAGTATTCTAAATTCACACAAGTTCTCACAAATAACCTTATCACTATTAATTCTAATTTTACGATAATTTTACGACAAACGTCAATAACAAAAGTTTGGAAAATCCAAAAGTGCACAACGCATTATGCTCATATGATCGCGAAGAAATATAAAAAAAAATCATCAACAGTTAAAAGTATTTTTTCTAAATTTTACTATTTTATTATTATTGTGATTCAATTTTTTTGTAATTCTTAATTGAAAAAACTTTTAACAGAACTATCTTAAAACTACCAGAAATCAACTTCAATATTACTTTAGTTTTTAGGTATTTGTACTTTAGCATTATCGCAAAAACCAGTCAGTTAGGTAAAATACTTGACTCGTTTTTTTTTCTCATCAACTTTATTTCGTTTTCAAAAGTTTTTCATCTAGTCATAACCAGTATTTTAATTTAGCATTCATCAAAGTACACCTGCAGGTCACTCCATAAAGTACAAGAGGTATAAGTATATTTATAAAATATAAATCCTACGTACTTTTATCGAAAAAATATATTGTAATGAAAATCTGTAATTATAAAAATAGTAATAATATCTTACCTTGGTCAAGTACGTCAAATTTGGTTTTTGGAATATTTTGCATTTCTACAGCCATCGATATGTTCCATCACGATCCGCTGTAAAAAAACGATACAGTAACCCACTCACGACGGCGGCCGAGCCAGCAGTGAGTCAAAGTGGATCTCTATTTATTAAAACATTTTGCAAAAAATATAAAAATTAAAAAACAAATAATTATAACTAAACAAAACAAAATTAAACAGCAATTTACATTCCATGACTTCCCAGATGATAGATGAAGAGATTAAAAAATAGTTTGAGTTGAACATAACTTTTGAAAATATCAATTATTGATATTTTCAAAAGTTACCGTGTTTACCCCGTCATGCGGACGTGATAAATCTACACCATAAGCTGCTGAAACTACTTTTTAATATAAAAATAGCGATTATACGATTTAAAAAATTTATAATAAGTTCAACAATCATTTATCTTTCCAATAATGTGATGTTTATATCATTTATATGTTCAATATGATTGTTAGATACGATTTCATGCGACAAAACGTTGGATTCCTGATTTTTAGGCGCTACTAGAACATACCTACGGGCTTTGTGATAAAGGCATGCAATATTGTGAAAAAAAGAGTTATTTCTGATAGGGCATAAAACCATGACCTGCAAATCAGAAGTATATACTTTTAATACTAAGCCATGTTATGGATTAGTCATTGTTGGACAAAATCTTTAAAAAAATGTGTCAAGAAATAACCATTCTCACTACGTTTTACAGTCGAATCGGTAATCGCAAACCCAATAGCCCTGCGCTAAACATCACTTTACATCAAGACCGTAGGAAAGGAGACAATCAATTTTTGTATGGAGAATGGGCCCACCACAAATTTTCGCGTCACGCAATGAAATGGATGTCGATTTATTCCTTATAATTTATAGTTTACAAAAGTAATATTAGTTTTACCACATCTAGACGGAAAATCGAGAAATTGACAATTAAAATATGAATTTTAAAATAACCTATAAATAAACTAAAAGCTATTTATAGTGTTTTTACCGGTATTTTAAGTTAAAATAGTGCACTGTTGAATAATAGTTCATATAAAACCAAGTTGTAGGTACATTCAGCATTTTCAGGTACTTCAATATTTTTAGTAGTTACGGCAAAATATAGTGCCTGTCTGTGTACAAATGTGGTATGGATACAATTTTTTACATATATTGATTGTGAGTGTACTTCCCAATTACCGTTAAAATAATATGAATAAATTCAAGATGACTAAGGTATAATATATCCATTTATATTTACAATATTACCAACACACGTTATATAGTAAGAAAGATGTTTTAAACTGACTGTGTAAAAAACAAGTTATAATGCAACCGTATTTATAGATGGTAAATCATCATTTCCAACATAGTCTATATAATTCAGACATATAATTCAGATCTATTTATGCAGACAGACAGACAGGCCCGGTGTCAAGACTTTTTTTAATATGCTTTGGTTGATTATTAAATACCTAATTATACATCTTAAAATGACTGGGTTCTAAAATACCAAAATGACTAGGTAATATCATGCTTATCTGTTATTACACACTGATAAATTGTGAGGAAGTAAGATGTTTTGAACTGTTTGTGCCAGGATAACAAACACACAGGTATAGTTTAATTGTATTTATTATTAGCGATCCGCCCCGACTTCGCACAGGTGATTTCTGGATTTCGACAACAGCGCCACCTACCGAGTCCATATGTGAATATGAATCATATAGAGACCCGTTCAAACACACATAAACATATCATCAAAATCGCTTGGATGGTTTCTAACGGACATAGGTAGAAACATTTTTCGTGTTTTCATATCAAAAGATCATATTAAAAGATTTTTTCAAAATAACTTGATGGTAACATTTCTATTTATGATACGATATTGATATGTAATAAGTCCCAAAGATCATGTATAATCACTGCATTAATTATGGTTAAAATCGTCAGTGTTTTATGAGTCCTCTTTTAAAAATAACACAGCAGACAGGTGCAGTGCCGGCCCTTTGTTCATTAAAGTATTCATCTATTAGCAAGTATAAATCCCATACATCATTAAAATATAATGTCTCGCCCGTTTACGATATTATTAGAAATCAGAAGGATATTGTCAATTAAAAGAGATAAAAAAGGGTGCCAAAGCAATAAATTCAACTTTGCTCGGCGTTTATTTATAAATTACACATATAACATAATATATAACAGATAATAAAGCACACAGTAAAATAGAAATAGTTCAAATAAGCAACAAAAATTACAATTTTTAGTCATCATTATTCATCATCATTACAACAGTCCACTGCCGAACATATGGCTCCTAAATTAAAGATATAATGTAAAATATTACAGAGGCCTTCCGTGAATTGCCATCACGTTCCGTCCCGTATGGTGTCGTTAAAGTCGACAGAATAAAATAAAAATACTAGGAGATGGGGAGCAGCATCTTCCTATAGAATACCACAAAAAACTTTGGTTGCCACAAGTGAAGCAACTATAGCAAAAATGATCATTTATATTACAATATTAATACGCATTAAGATTAATAATCATCATTCATCATTTTCAATATCATTACTTGAAAGTAATATATCATCTAAAAAAAGATGCAGGTGGTTCAACCTCATCTCGATGCCGTGCCCAAGATAGAAACCAGACAACAGACATGACATGTGCACAGCAGCCAACAGTGCGTCTGCCTACCAAACAGTTGCAACAGTACCCAGTAAGAGCAGCCCTAGTGTTAGCAATTGATGGGTTGGTGTCAACTAGTATATAAGTGTAATAAGTTTTTTTACTAGTGTGCCTTGATTGTATCCTACCTCGCAATAGATAACTATTTGGACCAAAATCATGGACAGATTGCAGGTATACCTCGATTTTATATTCTCCAGAAGCCCTGACATGCTCCCCGTAATAACTACGAGCTTGTTTAATTTGATAAATTCCTAGACTAAACAGAATGAGATCCTGGAATGTCAGTTGAGGAAAACTATCCAGCTCTGGAAGATTACCATTAATGCTGGCAAATCGCACTCTCACTCTATTTAAATTGTGCATTTCTACGGAGGCTAAATTATTTGGAGTGTTTAGTTTGGCTTGAGCAATTGCCAATATCTCTACAGCATGAAAATTATTACGAATCAACGTATGAAATCGATTTATTAATGCAGCTGCAATTTTAAAGTATAGCATGAGATGAGTAGATGCAGTATTAAAATATTCCTGACGAAATAATTTGAAGTCCCGTTTAAATCTCCCATTTACAATTTCAATCACCCACCTGCACAAAGTTACACATCTGGACTTGTTGGCAGCAATGGTTGATAATTGTATTTCACCAGCTTGTTTAGATTCAGGCATGTAAGCCTTATAACCACATTGCTGCAAGAATGGAATTGCATCCCTAAAACCTCTATCAAGAATAAATACATCGTTTTCTCTAAAATAGGTTCGCAGTGGACTACTATCGTTGAACAGTCTAAGAATTATAGAAGCATCTGATTCTGTTGCAGGATATGGTCCAAAAACATCAAGGATATAACCATTACAGCACACTATTAAAAATGGCTTAACTAAGTTACGATACTTATGTAAACTATATGTTTGCTTCTGGTATAAGTAATTACTACTTTTTTGCACATAAATGTATGTACCATCACATATTACTATGGCTGGCATAAATTCAGGATCCATATCTGGATTACCAAACAAGCCATTTGGTATTGTCAAGTTATATTGAGCAACTTGTTGAATG